GACTCCAGATTGAGACGAGCTGATGGGTGGAGTTGTGGGGAAAATGTCGGTTTGCGGCCTATGTTACAGAAAGACAAAGGTATAAAACCAGGCAGAAGGCTTTTTATTAAAAATTTTAATAATTAATTGCTGTCTGAAAATATTATTGATAAGAAGGTTATATGCATTTCCGGGAGCTGGAGCAGGGAACTTTTTTTCTTTGCCAATGTCTTTAATGTTGAAAACTGCATGACACACTGGCAGACAGAAAAGACCATTTGGTGAAAATATCAATTAGTTAACGGGTTTAGATTAAATGGTGATTCTAAATTGCCCATAGGTGTGAGTATGAATGGTTGTCAGTCCCTAATGTATTAGCCCTGTCCTGTCCAGGGTGTGTGTGGTAGCTGGACAGGCTCCAACCCTGAATTGGAAGAGAATGCACGGATGGACACCAAACAGTAATTACACCTCTATTTACAGCATTCATTTGAATTACTCTAGAAAAACGGCAGAGCTACCATCTGTCACTATAATAATTAATTAGAAACAAGTTCCATTAGTGGCTAGAATGTCACTATGTGATCTTAAAAAACAAACAAAAAACAGGAAATTTATCCTGGTTTATCAGGTAAATTACAGACTTACCTCATGGCACCGTTACAGCGTCACACACTCAAGATATTTTTCTCTGCTGTGTTTACTATGACCGCTGGGGGGTGCTGTTGTTGTGGACATTATGTTAAAATAGGTGATGCTGACTCATAACTCATGTAAGCATAATTTCTGCCTACACCCTTTTTGCCTGAAATACAGTTTTTTCTATTTTAATATGCCTTGTTTTGCTATGACCAGACCAAAATAAAAAAAAATGAAGGAGTGAATGAATATTGCTAAAACTAACAACAATAAGCTTTTATTGAGCTTCACTTCGCAATAAATGTACAATGTCTAATAAATAATTTTTCCCAACACCAACATATTTCAAATTTAAGCTTTATGAAATATTTGCATGTTATTAAAATGTCAATAAATTGCATGGGAGAAGGTAGTCAGACCTACACAGGAGGAATAGACGGTACTACACAGTCACTATATTTGTAGACTTGGAGATTTCCAGGGAGGTCCACGTCAAGTTTCGCCTCAGGGTTTTAGAGGGGGTTGCGGTTACAGTGTAGCTATGGTGTAAATTTCCCACTAAAGCGTTAGTCCCCAGTCACACTAAGTTGCAGTGTCCAAATTACTCTGTACTTAATTTTTCACTTCAGTGAATACAAGTACTACCATAAAAAAAGGGAAATAAAATACTTTAGGAGACTCTTGCTTTTCTTCTTTTAAACTTCTGATGTTTAGCTGATAGATTTAAAAAAACCAACAAAATACATATTATTTAAATTTCTGGGACATTGATCAAGTTTTTGTAAATATTTTGAGGTGACCTTTAAAACTTTTATCTCACATTCAAATTTCAAAAGGTGGTTTAATTGGACTGGAACATGTAATGGTGGTAATGAGAGATCTGGCTTTCTCTCTTCTAGGTCTTTTGATATTTAACTTAAGTACTGCACCCTCTGAATTGGTTGCGCTGTGCTTTCCCAAACTGACATTCCAGTCTTTTATGGTGCTCTCTTTGGGTCAGTAGTTGTCCATCTTTAAGTGCAAGCTGTTTTTCAACCTTGGTGCCCTGTTTTGGAACCATGGGACATGGCTTTGCCTGTCTGTCTGCTACTAGGATATGCCTTAAATTTATATATTTCTGCAATGTTTTTGATCCACTGTCAATGTGAGAGTTTTCCCATCTTTCTCATATGCAGAGCATTCAGAGCACAATGCATCTCATGAGAATACTGGAACAATAAAGACTAACTCTGCCATTGCCGGTCCCAAGCCCAAGATGAGAAAGGAGGAGGGTTGGGCGTGGGGCTAGCAACCCCACCCTGTAAAAACTCCAACTGCTACGGAAACAGCAAGTGAATCTCATTATCGGCTAACGGTGATTTGGGTGACTGTAACAACTGGCGGGGCATCACGTTGCTGTCGGTACCCGGGAAAGTGTTTTGCCTCGCTCTTTTGAATCGGCTACGACACGCAGTGAACGAACGATTGCGAGAAGAGCAGGCTGGGTTTCGGAGTGGCCGGTCATGCGTCGAGCAAATCTTCACCCTCGCATGATCATTGAACAAACACTGGAATACCAAAGGAAGATTTCTATTAATTTCATTGACTTCAAGAAGGCTTTTGACAGCGTCCGCCGGCCGACTCTATGGGCTATCCTACGCCACTATGAAGTCCCTCAGCAGTTTGTAGATGCCTTTCGTTGTCTCTACTCCAACTCCCGTTGCTGCGTCCGGACGGATGACGGCTGCACAGATTTCTTCAAGATCAATACTGGCGTCCGACAAGGATGCGTGCTATCCCCTTTCCTCTTCCTGTTGGTAATTGACTTCATCATGCGACGATCAGTTGACCAAGCTGGCATCGGTGTGCCCTGGCACGAAGCGCGTAATCTCACTGACTTGGACTTCGCAGATGACATCTCCCTGTTGGGCTCGACTCAGGAAGACCTCCAAAGGTTGACCGCGGCCCTGCAGAGGGAGGCGACGAAAGTTGGATTAAGAATCAGCGCCAAAAAAACCAAGGTACTCTGAGTTGGCTATGCACGTACCCGCATTCCGGTCATGATCAACCAACAACGTGCTGAAGAGGTGGAGAATTTTACATATCTTGGCAGCATCATCTCAAATGACGGGGTCTGTGATCGGGATGTCGACGCCAGAGTAGGGAAGGCAGTTGGTGTCCTGCGAAGACTCCAACCTATTTGGAACTCGACCTCCCTGAATGTAAGGGTCGAGATCAGACTACTGAACTCTATCGTCTTCCCTACTGCACTTTACGCTAGTGAAACCTGGCGCTCAACAAGTGCAATTATTCAACACCTGAACGTGCTTCAACAACGTGGCCTGCGGCGAATCCTGAGAATTTCCTACCGGGACCGAATAACAAATGAGGAGGTCCTACGAAGAGCAGGCACCCGCCCATTAGCCGATGTTGTTGCAGAAAGGCGCTTCCGCTTTGCGGGCCATATTTTACGCCTACCGCCTCATCGCCCAGCTAAGATTGCCATGACATGGCGTCCACGCACTGGCAAGTGAAAGCAAGGCCGACCAAAGACCACATGGCGTCGAACATTCATGGACGATCTGAGAACTGTCGACGAAGCTGAAGCAGTCGCTGCTGACCGACATCGATGGAGATCACTAGCTGCCCGATGCGCCGCCCGGCGTAGGAGGAACTAAGTCTAAGTAGTAAAGACCTCTGGCCACTGACAATGATGCTTTGGTGAATCTGTGTTAGACTGTAATACTGTATCGTTTATACTGGTTGAACTCTAGCCACCTTAATATTGGCTTGGACAGCAGGTCCTCTAAAGGCCTAATGAATGTTGCTGTTACACTCGAATGTTTTAAATGGTGAAGAATTTGAAGGAACTAGACTTTTAGCAAGCCCATCATATCTAGTTCTGGTTTGGTGATCGATGCTGCCTCTCGATTTTCTACAAGTGCTGTGATACTACAAAATGCTTCCAGATGAGATGTGTGAGATTATCACTATGGTAACATCTCTGACACCATGGTTACATGGCATGTGATTTTTTTTTTTTATGCTGCTGACTTACCCGGCTTAGATAACTCAGCTATATCCTACCCCTGCTGCTGTTGCGCACACACACACACACACACACACACACACACACACACACACACACACACACACACACACACACACACACACTAACAGAGAGAGAGAGATTAATCAGAGAAAAAAGTCCTCTGGCCTCTAAGCTAATGACCTCTGGCTTGTGATCATAGCTCCAGCTTGGACATTTCATAACACTGACATTCCCCTCAGCATTGTGGAGTATGAGGACCTCTCTTCAGTGCACCTTGAAGCAACTGTTGTTGTGAATTGTTGCTTTAAAAATAAACCGGCATGAAGTGAGCTGCATTGAATGTGATCATCACCTTTACTTGTTTTTTTCTCACAGTCAGTATAAAACACAGACTTTGCTTCCAGGTCACAAAAATAAACCCAATGCGTTCTTTGGTTTTGAGGTTTTCACCTTGTTGTAAACACTCAGTTTTCTCCATCTCCATTTCATGAAGCTGTGCCTTGATTGTAGACCTCCTTGAGATTGTTCTGGACTTGGTTAGATGTTGTGAAGGAAATCTTAACCAAGAAAAGATTTTTGCAGTCATCCACGTTAGCCTCCTTTCATGGTCTTCAAGGCACCAGATTATGGATTCTCCACAGTTTTTGCTGTCGCTCTGATTTGAGATTTTCAGCCGATGATGATGATAAGAAGGCCTATGGCCAGCCTAAAAAGGCCCATACCTGTACCATAAGTCTATCTTGCATCATAGGCTGCAATTCAGTGACTAAATTTAGTAATCACATTTGACCAGCTCTACAGCATATCTTGTACACTTGATTGAAGAGGAGAACAGAGCTGTTGACTGATAACCACTTGATGGTGGCAGGGCAAGAGGATGCCAGTGTATGTATATACTAATATTACAATGTTGGGCCTATACTAAATTATTTTGTGATAGAGGTTTCTACTTGAAAGGTCTAAAGCGATAAAAAACAAATGAGGAGTAAAACGCTGTTTTAAGTCAGTTTAAGTCATGCAGTAAGAAATTAAAAGAGATGAATGCATGTAGTTCTGAGAATCTTTAAGCTCACAGCAACTGGGTTAGTAACCTCGATGACTAGGTTGAGCCCACAAACCACGGTGGTAATTTGAACCTAGTGTTTGCTCTGATTTCAGTGATACATTATGTATCATTATATACTGTATGGTCTGCTTATTATTCACATTAAATTATTTGATGTTATTGGTGTATCCTCTATTTTCATACATTGTTCTCTACATTCATCTCTGTTGCTTTCCAGATAAACAGAGAGAAGACTTCATCTTTAATTACACACATTGACCAGCAGGTGGAGACAGCTTGCCATCAGTACATATTCAAGTTTTAATATGAGCATCATTAATAAACACATTTGTTCTGATGTACAGAAACAACAGCAGTAAATAAAGACCGGAGCAGGAGAAGATGTAACTAATCTGCCAGGACAAACCAAATTCAGAAAGAAAAAAAAAACAGACTGAACAATTGTTCGATAAAGGACAATGTTACTGTGATGTCATGCCAACAGCTGCTGTATGCACAAAGGAAGTGGTTCATGATAAAGGGAAGTTTGGATCCACTTGTGGGAGAGATTGTCACAAATGTGATGAGGCTGGTGCCAGTGTTTTTGTGACAGCAAAAAACACGAGCTGAGACGTGGAGTGAGGGCAGTGAGACAGGTGGTAGTGCATGTGTCGACCGGTGGGGAGGCATTAATGAGAGAGGTGGTGAGACACTTGAAACAGGTTCTGAGACAGGTTGTCAGGGTTTAATTAGCCAATCACAGTGGGGATTAACTCTGTAAACATCCAACAGAACACAGTCAGGATGAAGACGACGCTCACCTGAGAGACAGGCAGAGAGACAGCTTTAATATTTAACATCCAGTCCGTCAGGTGTTTATCATGATGTTATAATGTGACTCACAGATGTTTCCTCCAACTTCATACAGATGTTGAACTGGACTGATCAGAGAAAAACAAAGACAGAAGGAGAAAGACAGGGATGGTAAATAAAAGTCAGATTTTCCTTCAGTGTGGGAACAGGTGGGGACCATAGGTATGGATCCTCACAGAAGTCGGATAAATGTGCATCTATGTGTGAGAGAGAGATTTTGTCACCTGTTCTCACACTCGAAGCGGGACGTTATGTCCTTGGCTGTTGTCTGTTCCTCAAGTTGTATCACCATGGAAATCTTGGTGTGTAGAGGAGCATGAACTCTGATCACACCTTCACACAGCTCTGTGATCTGCAGAGACACAAACAGACAGCACGCTGAACCCGGACTCTGCCCCGCATGCCTGTGGTCTTTGACTAACCTTGTTTTTGCCTTAGTTGATTCTGGACTCCATCTCCTTTGGTCCTGACCTGTATCAAACCTGATTTCTCTCTCTTCTTATCTGTTCTCTGTCTCACCTTGTTTTGGTGCCCATCTCATGCAGTTCTTGGTCTTTCCAGGTCCTAGTCTCTGTCTTCCTTGGCCCTGGTCTCTGTCTCACCTGATCTCTTTCATTCTTGTCATTCTTCTTCCTCAAAAGTCTACTGGTCCAGCTCAGGCCAAGCTGTTTCTGAATGGACACCTGGTTCATCTGTCTCACCTGAGACAGTAGAAACTTGGGGACCTATCAAAGAGAACGAGAAGTCATCGGGGGTTAGGGGCACCGAGACTGTGCAGGTGTGTCCTGAAACCTACGGTCCAAATCAAGTCCTGGTGAATGATCATCAACCGGATCAGCTGAGCTCCACCCACTGCCTCCTCCATCTCATCTCGTTTAGCAATTGAGCGCTTGTTTCCATGGTGACGACGGAACAGGTTGGGTGCCATCACCATGGACACATTCCACAGAGACATACGGTTCTGATCCTGATGAGAGACCACCATACGGAGGAAGACCAGCAGAGCCTGGAACCACAAAAAACAGGTTTTCTTGCAACCATGTGCGATTTCTAAAAAAAAAAAAAGTCTGTCATGGTCCTGGGTTGGTGACCCAGTGTTTTAGGTTTTGTACTTTTCTTTTTGATTTCATCAGGGTTCATGACTATTAGGGTTTGGTTTCTGTTTTTTATTTCTAGATCTCTAGTTCTTCTGGGTTTGTGATTTCTAGGTCTTCATGTTTATTCTCTTGTTCCCCAGTCAGTCATGTCTCCTGTCTAGGCCCTGTCCTTATGTTCCCTCTGTACTGTGTCAGTATTATTGGGATGTTAAGCTCGTGTCTCTGAGTCCGTGTCTGTGTGTGCGTGGTGCATTTCCTGTTTTATTTTGATAGTCTGTCTCCTACCCCAGTGTATCTAGTTTTGCCTTCCTTCATCGCATCATGTCTGATTTGTCCCAGCTGTGTTTCTTCCTGTTTCCTAATCCTCTCGTGATCCTACCTGTGTATTTTAGTCCTCAGCCTACCCTTGCTTGTTGTTGGATGGTTAACTTAACCTACTCTCTCTTTGTACTGTGTTTTCTCCCGTCATGTTTCAAGCCGTGTTTCCTAGTATCTAGTTTTCAGTGTCAGTTTAGTTTAGGTTTACGTTAGGGGTTTTGTTTTGTTTTGTGAAGTTCTCTTCTTTGATGAGTTGTTTTTCTGTGAGTACTGCACATTGGTCCAGAATGCAATGATTTACAAATCTCATAAATCCATAATGTATTCATAATAGAAAACCATAACAATTGCTTTAGCTCTGCAGTGATTCACTAGAAAATTGGCAACGTCCCTCAGCATCCATTGACGCTGCACAGTTGACTATGGAATATTTAGTAGCAGTATTAATTTTGTTGACTAATTTTTATTATATTTTTCATCAAACTTTTTTTCTAGCAAAAACAAGACAATAACTGAATAAAAATGAATGAAAGGCATCGAAACGTTCGTCCACGAATAAAAACAAGATGAAAATGTTTCTTCTGAGACAAGGCAGGAAGTGAGCCAGAAGTAATAATCTTGTGCAGTAAGGTTAGACATGCACAATTGATCTGCCGCTGACAAACAGGGATAGAGACAGGGGTTCAGCTAACACCTATGCACCCTGTTTCTCATGAAAATGTGACAAAATGTCAATGTTTTGGAGGAAGAGAATTGTGGACATATGGAGACATGTAGAGCAACTCTCACTTGTACCAACACAATGACACCTTAAAATCTGGTGACCTAAATCAACTTCAGATTTAGTCTACCATAATCTAAAGATATATACTCAACTAAAGCAAGACAAAAACAAAAATTAGGTGGCTAAATCTGGACTAAAACTAAATTATATTTTAGTGAAAAGACTAGGGATATACCTAATCTAAATCTGCTGTTTTTTATGTAAATTTTATGACTGGGCTTGTGGCCACAGGTGGCATCTGATCATGGTACCATGCTAGAATTCACTGACCTCTTGAGAGCCTTTTTCTTCAACAAGTGTTTGTAGAAGCAGTCTGCATGCATAGGTGCTTGACTTTATTCACCTATGACCAAGGAAGTGATTGGAACACCTGAACTCAATGATTCGATGAGTGAGTGAATACTTTTGGCAATATAGTGTGTGTCTGTGTTTGTGTGTGTAGGTTTGGATAGCGTGGGGGACCTCTCGCATCTGCGGGCGGTCTATCTGTCAAGCTCAGGTCTTCTACATGAGGCCTGGGAGCTTGAGGGCCCTGTGCATTTTCTTAGCTGTTCGTAGGACTGCACTCATCTGGACAGAGATCTCCAATGTTGTTCCTGGGATCTGCTGGAGTCACTCACCTAGCTGATCGTCTGTCTGTCTGTCTGTCGATAAATGAAGGTTAAGTGAAGACTTAAATGAGTTTACAAGAGTATATTTTAATGATATTAAATTTTCTGTAAAACTAAAAGATTCCCTATAACGTGCTCTCCCATGCTCTTTTAGGCTGTGACATATGTATACTGTGTGTTTACTGCCCTCTTTCTGCTTCTCACTGTTTGCCCAATTCTCTCTCATTTGTGTGTGTAGACAATGTCTGGGTGAAGCTTTACTCTCAGAATTTCTCTGTTGGCTTCTGGAAGAAGCAACGTCAGCAGCTGCAGGGCCTGAACCTGATGGAGCTCAGAGGGGATACCTGCAGGGACACACAGAAACACTTCATGTAATGCAAACACATTTAAATGATGAAAATGTGTGTTTGTATGTGTGCACACATACTCAGTACAGAGCGGTAGGTGGACAGGTGTGTGTGTGTCAGCAGAGGGGTTGGCAGCTCTCTGATGAAAAGCTTCAACAGACTGGAAGCGTCCACCTGTCTCAGCGCAGACCAGTCAAATCCCTCATAGCACCTGTCTAATTCTCTACGAAGGCACTGCAAGCAAACAGAGAGACAGCAGGGAGAAAGATACAGACAGAGAATCAGACAAAAACAGGTAGGTATTACACACAGAGAGACATAGATACACACAGGCAGACATACTCAGTTTTCCAGAATGCAAAAAGTCATTTTAAAGTGTGTCAGGGTGTGTGTCCATCTTTTGTGAGGACCAATGTTGAGTTTAGACAATCTCAAAATCTAGAAACAAACACCACTTAGCTGCTGTCTTGACCTTAGTACTATGCTATGTTAAAGCATCATCTAAAGAGAAAAACAACTTGATGTAGAAAATAACCATTCGTTTGTTACCTAAAAACTAGGACTAGTGTTGGGTTGGCTTTCGGGTTAGAGCTAGGTTAAGGTTCATGGTTGAGGATCTGGGAATGTTGACCTTGCTTTGCCCATGATGATGCACCTCCAGTCATCCAACATCCTAACTATGCATTGCTGAAGGCAGGGAACCTATGCACTGTTCAAATGTTGATTGGTTGACAAATGTGACGGAACAGGGAAGGGAGTGACAGGCAGTTCACTGCGAATGAAAGAGATGTGGAAAGATAACCAAAGATAAAAATTACAGACTGGCTGCAGTGGTAATCTTTCACACTCGGTTTCACTTCAGCTTGTTGTGTGTTATAACTTTGCTCTTCAAATGGATAATGGATAGTAGCCCACAGACTGGTTGTACCACATGTTTTTGACACTCCCTTCAACCAACAACAGATGCTTTTTGCAGGTAGACTTTCAGTGCATGACGTGCCTCATGAATGGTATAGTGTGCCAAAGTTGAACGTTTCTGCAGGTCACGCACCTCCCCATTTTTTGTTACATGGTGTGTTGTGTCGCTGCACCACAGCTGGCTCGCCAGCTTTTACCACAGTTTTTAATAATATAATAGTACAGTACTTCTGATTTCCACTTCTCCTCCTACTCCACTGCTGATGTGGCACTATTGTTGAGTGGCAACAGCTATTCTGTATGGAAACAAACAGCAGTGTGTGTGTGTGTGTGTGTGTGTGTGTGTGTGTTACCTTGACTCTAGCAGCTGATGCTGGTACTCTGAGAATCCCCTCAGTCAACAGGCCTGTTTGCTCTAAGATACACAACAACTGCATGCATACACACACATAAAGGAAGGTGTGACTGGTTACTGTTGTTTGTTTATTTTCACTAAATTTCTAAACAAGATGTAAACAAAGGTAAACTAACTTTGCTAGCTGTTAGTTAAACAACTACTTTAGGTCACCAAGATCATATGCTAATGGGCTCATACTTATACAGCACTTATCTACTCTGAGCACTGTTTACTATAAGCATTAAACATTTTACATCATGCACGTAAATAATAATAATAATGGATTGGATTTATATAGCGCTTTTCAAGGCACCCAAAGCGCTTTACAATGCCACTATTCATTCACTCTCGCATTCATACACTGGTGGAGGCAGCTACGGTTGTAGCCACAGCTGCCCTGGGGCAGACTGACAGAAGCGAGGCTGCCATATCGCGCCATCGGCCCCTCTGGCCAGCACCAGTAGGCAAGTAGGGTAAAGTGTCTTGCCCAAGGACACAACGACCAGGACAGAGAGCCCAGGGATCGAACCGGCGACCTTCCGGTTACAGATACGCTTCCCAACCCCCTGAGCCACGGTCGCCCGTAAAGAGATGCTTCAGCTTGGGGTTCAATATTTGCTTACTTGAAGAATCGAACTACTGACCAAACAGTAACCCACTTTTGCTCATGAACTTCCCAAAGACACATAAGATTATGATTGTGCCTTAAACTATAGTATCATAAGTTTTAGAGTAATGAAGCCAGCAATCTATCCCCTGTCTGAAACTTGATTAGACATAGAGAAGGACACGTTCTTCACCTTCTGGAACACGACAGGAACTTTGACCCCAGGAAACTTCTTCCTGTCTTTCTCCAACAGCGTGTTCAGAGGAACGCCAAACACACCACTGTCTAATGGACAGGAAGACACAAACAATCATACAGTGAGTGTTCTGAGAGACAATTTATACATCCTTTAGTACAGGGTTTTACTAATGGGGCTTTTTCAGCAGCAAAATAGTTTCAGGTCTGCCCTTATCGCTTATCCCATCCAGTCCCAAGTTAACTGTGTTAGAGCCAACGGCAGTTTGGCTCTTTCGGTCCCATGGTGGGCAAACCACACCCACGGTGAGCAATCCCACTGTGGGTTGCCCATTGAAAACCATGACAATCAGGGGACCTCTTGGGATCAAACTACTGTGGGGCCTTAATGGGCTAACCCAAAAGAGGACCAGTATGGGTTTTCCTATGGTAAACCCACAATGGGCTGCCCGCGTTTTTTGGGGCCCAAAAGGCTAAACTGCTATGGGCTAGCCCAACATGGGTTTACTGTGAACACTTACTCATAAGGTAGCTGCAAAGGGCAAAACTGTTGTGGGTTCTGGATGATTATCAAAATTATTATGCATAAACAGTTAAACCGTTGTAATGCGACACAGTGCTATGAAAGTGTTTGAGTCTTCTGGATTTCTTCTGTGTTTTTGCATATAGTCACATTTGCAGGTTTCAGCTCAAACTAATTTTAATCCAAACCTACCTGGTCCTGTTTAAAAACATAATAACAACATAGTGAACCTTCCTGGGAGTGAGTGGCCTACCAGAATTAGTCCAAGTGCAATCAATCACTCATCCAGAAGGTCACAAAAAACAAAACAGAACAAGATCTACAGAAACGCAGGCCTCACTTGCCTCAGTTAAGATGCGCGTTCATGATTCACCAATAAGAAAGATCAGGTAGAACGCATCTATGGAAAAGTTCTAAGATGAAAATAACTGCTGACCAAAAACAATACAAAGGCTTGTCTCAAATTTGCCACATCTTGATGATCTCCAAAAAATTTGAGAAAATATCTGAGAAAAGTTAAAGTCTTTGTGTTTGTGTAACATAGCATTTCACAAAGAGAACATCATACCAAGAATAAAAAACAGAATAAACATTTCATCCACAGAGGCGAAAAAAATCATGAGCAGTTATGACAAATTTTGGATTGCAGTTCTTGCTGCCAAGAATTGCAGAACCAGTCAATCTTATATATACTTGAGTTATCTTTGTCTAATAATGAAAACTGTTTGATGATCTGAAACAAATGTGTGACAAACAGGAAAAAAAATACTAAATGAGGAAGGAGGTGATACTAGTAGTTGAAACGGGGCAGTGGTCGAACGAAAACGATATAGCTGGACAATCTTGAATTTACTTCCTAATGTTGAAGCACGACATGATCTCCCATCTTGTGGTGCTCTGGGGTATTAAAATGCATACCTTATTGGTTTAGTGGTAGTGCCGGGTGGAAGGCAAAGTACTGATCTTTATAAAGGTGTTAAGGACATCTCACATTAAGAAGTCTTTGTGTTTATCAGAAATTGGTCTTTGGTTTTGTTGGTTTATTCTGAGTTTTCCTGTTTTTGAGATTTTTTTTAAAAGTTTGTCTTCATTGTTAATTTTACATTTTTAATTACTATAGTAGAGATTATCTTAATCTCCGTAATATCTGCTTGTTTGTTTCTCTTTGAAAGTCATTTAACTCATGTCTTCTGTTTAGGTTTACCTCCTTTTGAATCAGTGCAGTTTATTCATTTCAACTGTTTCTTGTTTTCCAGATGTGTCCATCCAACCTGATTCAATACTGGAATAAGCAGTTTTTAAGGTTTTGTGTTCCAAGTATTAATTAATGTTTAAATAACTTAATAATTACAGAACACTGTTATAAATATTTTTTATGATCCAGCAGTGAGGACAGTGTTTTTAATCGTTCTCCATTAAACCGTTCTGCTGGAGGTTTCTTTCTGTTAAAACAGAGTTTTTCCTTCCCGCTGTCACTAAAATGCTTGCTCATACCAGGTCATGTGATTGTTGGGCTTTTCTCTGTATGTATTATTGTACGGTCTACCTTAGAAAATAAAGTGTCTTGACTGTTCTTGTAATTTGGCACTGTATAAATAAAACTGAATTGAATTGAAACTGAAACAGTGTTTCCTGAAAAGCCTCTCTTGTTTAGTGGGAAATAGATTTCATCAAAGTAGATGTCTTTTTGAAAGTGCTGTAATTAGGTTTAAGAATACAGTTCACCCACTTTTATCATCTTCAATAGCCTGTACCAAAAGAGAGCAGAGCAGGTACCTGAAGGCTACTCAAACAGAGGTCGATTATCTTGTTAATTGTTTTAACTTTCACTATGCACAACTCTGGATACTGTAGCTCCTGTGAAAAAGAGAGCCTCAAATCAGAAGTACTTGACTCCCTGGTATAATTCTCAAACACGTACCCTAAAGTAGATACCTCTTAAGCTGGAGAGGAAATGGCGTGTCACAAATTTAGAAGATCAGATTTAGAAGATCATCATTTAGCCTGGAGAAATAGTTTGTTGCTTTATAAAAAAAAGCCCTCTGTAAAGCTAGAAGATCTTACTATTCATCACTGATTGAAGAAAATAAGAACAACCCCAGGTTTCTCTTCAGCACTGTAGCCAGGCTGACAAACAGTCAGAGCTCGGTTGAGCCAACCATCCCTTTAACGTTAACTAGTAATGACTTCATGAACTTCTTCACAAATAACATTTTAACCATTAGAGAAAAAATTACTCATGATCATCTCACAGATGTAACAACATGTACCGCTGCTTTCAGTACCATTTAGTCTTTTTCTCCTATTGATCTTTCTGAGTTAATTTCAGTAATGTCTTCCTCCAAACTATCTCTAATAATCGCTATGTGGCATCCCTTGACCCATCTAATTATAGGCCAATCTCCAACGTTCCTTTTATCTCGTAAATTCTTGAAAGAGTAGTTGTCAAACAGCTAACTGATCATCTGCAGAGGAAGATTCTTTATTTGTCATGTGCATGGTTATACAGATATAACACGCAGTGAAATGTGACCTGACACGCTCTTCGACTCTGCAAAAAGGAGAGACACAACTTTATGGCTTATTTGAAGAGTTTCAGTTTATAAGGTTAGACCCAGTTCCAGCCTTTGAGTGCTTGACTGTCTTTCAACAGTTTGAGCCAGTGTCTTATTCTGCTTTAAAAGACATAATTGATCATCTCAAAATCTCTGGTTCCCCGCACGATATTCGTCCTTCTCGTTTCTTTAAGGAATCTTTACATATTATTGGTCCTTGTATCTTACTTCTGCTGAATGCATCATTGTCATCAGGTTGTGTACCGTCTGTCTTTAAGCATGCTGTTGTGCAACCTATTATGAAAAAGAAAAATCTTGACCCTAATGCTCTCACTAACTACAGGCGGATCTCCAAACTCCCTTTTATTTCCAAAATATTGGAAACGGTAGTTCTAAACAACTTCAGGCCTTTTTAGATGCAAATGGTATTAATGAAAAGTTTCAGCACAGAGACAGCCTTACTTAGAGTTTTTAATGATCTTCTTTTAACGGTTGACTCTGGCTATTCCGTGGTTTTAGTTTTACTTGACTTGACTGCTGCTTTTGACATGGTTAACCACAACATTCTTCTATCAAGACTGGAACATGTTGTTGGTCTCAAAGGTATACGGTTTAAATCCTACCTCTCAGAGAGGTCGTTCTCTGTTGCTATAGGGCAACACTCCTCGGCTTCTGCCCCTATTTATTGTGGTGTGCCTCAAGGGTCCGTGCTCGGTCCTGCTCTTTGTACATGTTGCCGTTGGGATTAATTTCTTAAAAATATAACATCTCCTTTCATTGTTATGCCGATGATATCCAGATTTATTCACCTTTGAAATCAGATGTGTCTGCTTCTTTGCAACCTCTGTTCAACTGTTTGCATGAAGTTAAAATTTGGTTATCACATAATTTTCATACACTGAACGAGAATAAGACCGAAATCGTAGTTTTTGATGGTCACACTCTGCCCTTGGCCCTCTTGCTAGCCATCTCTCGCTCACTGTAAGGAACCTTGGAGTGTTCCTGGATGGCTCTTTTAAACTTGAGAAACGGGTCTCTACTGTGGTAAAAAACAGCTTTTACCAGTTGCGTCAGATATTCAAAGCAAAGCCGTTCCTTCCTTTAAAGGACCTTGAAACGCTTATCCACACATTTATCACATCCAGATTGGACGACTGTAACTGCCTCTACTCGGGCCTCCAACACTCTTCTCTTTAACGGCTTCAGTTAGTTCAGAATGCAGCTGGGCATCTTTTACCAGGTACGAGAATCTGTGAACACATAACTCCAATTTTAGCCAAATTACATTGGCTCCCAGTTAAATGTCGTATCGATTTTAAAATTCTTTTGTTCACTTTTAAAATATCGGAATAATTTAGCGCCCAGCTATCTTTCTGAACTACTTCACAGGCTCCTAGCACAACCTAGGTCTCGACTGAAGTCCAGAGGTGACCGGGCCGTTGCAACCGTGGCACCTAGACTCTGGAATAACCTCCCTGTTCATATTCGTACAGCCGAGTCTATCCAGTCTTTTAAATCACATCTTTTTACTTTGGCTTTTGATTCTAACTAGTTGGTTGTTCTTGCTTGTTGTGTTGTCACGTATTGTTTGTTGTCCTGTTTTATTGTTTTGTCTTAATTGTCTCATGCTTTTACTGACTGTGAAGCATTATGGTGAACATTGTTGTTTTTAATATGTGCTATATAAATAAATTTTGATTTGACTTGATGAGGTTGTCCCACTCACAACTGCATATCTGTGTAAATCAGGATTTTCCATTGTGGCCACAACCAAGACCAAAGCCTGAACCAGACTCAGAGCAACACTGGAAGCTGCTCTGAGAGTGAGCCTTTCCCCCATTCCACCCAGACCCGTGTCTCATTAACAGCTGAACATAAAAGGGGAGTTGCCTATTGTGACTGTTTGTTGAAGAATAACTTCTGGTTCTGCCAATGAAAAAACCTTTCAGATTCACTCACAGATTATAAGGCTATATTTTCATTTGCCCTTTATTTAAATTTTATAACAGTTTATTTATTTATTCATTTAATTAGAAAATTATTTTGAATGTATTTGTTTTATGAGCACATTATTCTATTTTTTCTTTTTTCTTGTCTCTTTTAGTAAAATTGAATTATTAATTATTTTGTGTTTTTAATCCTGACTTGAGCCTTTTAACTTTGCAGTTTGATTTGTTCCATGAATTGCTGGCATTTTGTTTTATGTACAGGTTCTTTGGGATTATTAGATTGCATCATGTCATCATCATGTTTATTTGACGAGGTTTTAGCCATTAAAATGATGTAGATTTGATTTAGTTATTAAATATATATAAAACCAAAAGCAACATCAATTTATTCAATACAGTGTCGGGCCCCGGGCAACTTTGTAGTGAAAACATTAGACCCAGAGGTAGGGATGCAACGATACCAATTTTTTCAAACCGATACGATACCGATACTTGGATCTGAGTACTTGCCGATACAGAGTGCAAAAACCGATACTTCTACCACACACACACACACACAAACACACACACACACACACACACACACACACACACACACAAATGCAATGAATCGGAAGACAGGTTTTATTTTATTCTCTGCCGATAAAAAATAAAATCTTAATAAAAATGACCACAAAAAAATTTCAAGTGAAAAATAAGCACTTCTGCTAAATTATTGCAGAGTCTCCACATTGTAATTTAGCAAAATATCACTGAACTATTGGCACTGTCTCGAGCTTTCGGAATAATAAATAAACACTTCTGTTTGGAATATAATAAATACAAATTAGGTTTGAGAATAAAATAAACTTTTAAATTGTTGCAGAGTGTTCATAATGTAAACAAACAAACAAAATAATGAAAGTATTTGGCATTGACGAACGAACTCCCCATCTGCCCGTGGATCATCAGTCCACTGTGCCGTTAAACCAAAGACTGACATCGCGCACACACTGCTCGTCTTTACCTCTTTAGAAAGTTTTGTCACCATTATCTCCCTGATGTGTGGGCGGCTGGGAATTTCATATCGCAGCTCGAGTATGCTGAGAAGAATCCTATGTTTTCCATGACTGGCATTGGCTGGTCATCCAGAGCGATAAAACGAGTCAGAGCCTCTGTTATTTTAACTGCCCGTGGATTTTCTCTTGACATTTTTCATCGCTTTTCCAAAACCTGAGTTAAAGTTGGCTGTTCCGGTCCACACTGCTGACATTTTGTTTAGCCTAGCTACAGCAGCCTCCAGTTTCTCTTTTTTTATCTGGAGCTGCCAGTCTGACTCGTCTAACCCTGTGCCTGTTTAGCACGGGATGTTCCCCTAGTGGCCAATCTAAAAAACTACAACAAAAATGACAAGCCACCCTCTGATTAATGAAACAAGTTAGTATCGGTTCATGGTATCGGTTAACTTTTACGAGTATGAGTACACACACATTTTACAGTATCGGCCCCGATACCCGATACCCGATATCGGTATCGGTGCATCCCTACCCAGAGGTAAAACAGGTTAAGGACCGCTGATTTTCTACACACATCTTTGCGTGGGAGTTACATTAAATCTTGCAGAGCGGTATAATTCTGTACTGCTTCATGTAAGTGGGAAGATGATTTTTGTTGTTAAACATTTCAGGGTACATTTATTGTACAATTTAATATGAAAAAGTTGCTTAAAAATGTAAATTATGTTTGGATAAGTGGAGTAGGATGTTGTAGTCAATTTAGAGAAATGTAGATGACCCAGATTTGTTTTTTATGTGTGGACAGAAGATAAGATGGTAAGAGTCATTCATGTTATTCTAGTACATTCATAAGATACTTTCACCTAGAGTGCTTTCTCTAACTCTAAATTCTGGAGTATTTGTAGTTATGATAGTGTAATTTCAGATTTATATTGGTTAGTTTATGAGGGTGGCAAGTTCTAGAAACTCCCAGATGGCAATTTCAGTACATAAAGTTGGAGATCAGTAATTTATAGATTACATGAAAATTAACACGACATTTCTTTTACATTTATACTACAGGAACAGCAATACTGCTTCAAGCAGCAAGCATTAAGATGTAAGCTCTAAATCTTAAAAAAGGGAGAGAAAAGTTTAAGTTTGGTAAATTCACTTCTTCAAGAAAACCCTATGACAATACACTACCAGTCAAAAGTTTGGACATGCCTTCTCATTCAATGTTTTATCTATTTTTACTACTTTCTACATTGTAGATATATATGAAGAAAGATATATGGGGTTATACAGCAAAGAAAAAATGATAAATAACTCTAAATATATCTTATATTATAGATTCCTCAAAGTAGAAGAAACCACTACTAAGGAAAAGCAACAAGCAGAAGAGATTTGTTTGGGCAATCCGATCCGGTTAGTTGGACAATCATTTATCTTTTAACAGGACAATGACCACAAACACACCTCCAGGCTGTGTAAGGGCTATTTGACCAAGACAGAGAGCAACAGAGTGCTGTGCCAGATGGCCGGGCCTCCACAGTCAGCATCTCTGGGAACTCCTTCAAGACTGTTGGAAACCATTTCAGGTGATGACCTCATGAATCTCATCGAGACAATGCCAAGGATGTGCAAAGCAGTAATCAAAGCAAACGGTGGCTATTTTGAAGAATCGAAAATATAAAACACGTTTTGAGTCATTTCACACTTTTTTGTTTACTACATAATTCCGTATGTGTTCATTCATAGTTTTGATGCCTTCAGTGAGAATTTAAAATGTAAATAGTCATGAAACTAAAGAAAAACCATTAAATGAGGAAGTCTGTCCAAACTTTCGACTGATAGTGTATACATCACAAAGAATTATGACTGTTGCTGTCATTTAAATAAAAAATAAAACACAAATATTTTAATTTTATTTATATAGGGCCAAACAACAACATCTGTTGCCTCAAGGAACTTTATATTGTTAGATAAAGATCCTACAATAATACAGAGAACACACGGAAAACCCAGTCAGTGGACCCCTCTGAGCAACTACTTTGGTGGCAGTGGGAAGGAAAAACCCCATTTTAACAGGAAGAAACCTCCAGCAGAACCAGGCTCACGGAGGACGGTCATCTGCTGTGACTGGTTGGGGGTAAGGGGACTTTATGACCCTTTTCTGTGGGCAAAATACATACATACACCTTACGTGAAAAAAATAAAAATAGTAGTAAACTTATCTATTTTTATGCTTGTGGAGTAGATGCACTCCACTTCCACATCGGTTTCATGTCTGCCTCTCTCACTGATTACACTGGAAATGTAATGTTGCTGTATCCACTCTGAAAATTGTCTGCAAACAATAAGGAGCCATGGTGTAAGACAAATGATGACACACCATCTACTGTAAAAATAACAACTATTTGGAAATCCAGGAAAAATGGTTTGAAGAGATGTTCTTTGTTATGTGGATCTGGATCTTGTTTTTTTGGTTAGATACCGTTTTTAGTTCCACATTACTTTTTGTGTTTATGTTAAAAATGCATAATTACATTGGCGAAACTTACGTTAATCAGTAAAAGTGTTAACATCACTCGCTATAGCTTTCTAATATCCTAATGCTATAAAGTCTTTGCTGTGAAGCTGAATGCAGATCATTATGTAAAAAAGAAACTCACCCCGGTTCCTGCAGCGTGGAGGACGTGAGCGTTTGGTGTGGATCCCCAGAGTCATCAGGAAGGTTGTGAGCTCAATGTGTGAGATGAAACACAGCTGTGTGAGGTCACGTGACGACAGGTCGCCTGCACAGCTAAGACCCTGAGAGGGAGGGATAGATGCAAACTGCACGCACGCACGCACGCACGCACGCACACACACACACACACACACACACACACACACACACACACACACACTCTTTTTTGCATCCGTTAGCAGCCTCCTGTGTTGTAAGCAATCAGATTTGACTGGAAGACCTCTCTCAGCATGCAGCAGGTCAAACTCACCTGCAGCTCACTGTTGTTGTCTCTATGGAAACGTAAACAGTCCCAACAAGCCTTGCCCCTTTTGTGCTCAGCCACACCTTCTGAGTATGGAGAGTCCCGCAGCACCCAGTCAGGTTGCATCAATTGACTGACGGGGGACGAGTGTGTGTGAGGAGGGGAAGAGGTATATTTGTGAGAGTCAGTGTGTGTTGGAGAATGTGCGTGTGTCAGAACAGTTGTGTCGATGACATGTGTCGGAGAGCATTTGTTTCCTGGAGAGTTTGCGTGATGCAGAGAGTCTGTGTTTGAGGGGGGTGAGGGGTGCTCTGGTAGTTGATCTTCAACAGCCAACACGGGTAGAGTTGGTCGTACTGTAAAAGACACAAAGCATAAAGCTCTCAGCAGGTACAGAGAAAAAACAAACAAAATCTCTTGCAGAAATAGAATCCTGTTTCCAAAAACACTGGGATGCTCGGATGTCAAAAGCAAATAAAACTAGCAAATTGCAAATCATTTAAAACATTTTTCAGCTCTGTTCAAATCACACAGCTAGAGTTATTTATATAGTGCATTGACACAACAGCCATCTGGAGGATGATGAAGAGATGGTGAGAAGGAAGATTCCTTTTTAACAAGAACAACCAGGCTTAGCGACAGACATCTGCTGTGACCGACCGACCTGGGGCGTGTGAGGAAGAGGAGAGCATTGAAAGACGAGGACAGAACACATGCTATGGGAGAGAAGACAAAAGTTAATGACATGCAAAAGTGAAATGTAAACACAACAGAACACAAAAACAAAATGTTCACTGCATCATAGAAGGTCCCCCTGAAGCCCGTGGCAATAGCAGCATAACTAAGGGATGCTTCAGTCACCTGATCCAATGAAAGTTGAATGAAAGTTTCAACTGCCTGGTGGCAAGCATGGATGTAGAGTCCCACTTACTATGGAACTTCTTTTATACAGGGAGTGCAGAATTATTAGGCAAGTTGTATTTTTGAGGAATAATTTTATTATTGAACAACAACCATGTTCTCAATGAACCCAAAAAACTCATTAATATCAAAGCTGAATGTTTTTGGAAGCAGTTTTTAGTTTGTTTTTAGTTTGAGCTATTTTAGGGGGATATCTGTGTGTGCAGGTGACTATTACTGTGCATAATTATTAGGCAACTTAACAAAAAACAAATATATACCCATTTCAATTATTTATTCTTACCAGTGAAACCAATATAACATCTCCACATTCACAAATATACATTTCTGACATTCAAAAACAAAACAAAAACAAATCAGCGACCAATATTGGCTGCGGTCGTGAGGTCTCAGAATCTGCTATGTGAGCAAAAAGAGTGACAAGACCACAGAATCGACGGCTAATAACATCACGGAGAAGCTCGCAGCTATTAACGGGAGACTGAGAGACCAGTGTCGGAGTGTTAAAAAACAGCTTGAAATTCTCAATTACCATCATAACCCGGCTACCCCTTCGGCGCCAGCTCAAGGCTGGAGCTGAACAACAACTCCCTGATAACGACTGTGTTGAGTCTGTTCCTTCCCATTCCATGCAAGGCCACCTGGGTTGGCTGGAAGACTGTTTACTTAGCCTGGCAGGGCGAAGGACACTGTCTCAGCTGAACTATGGACACGCACACACATACATATACTGATACTGATAAGCACTCACTGACGCATCACCCTCCCTACCCCGGATCCAACGCCACCTCCAACGCTTACCTCCCCCATGATGTGGACATTGGGTCAGTTGGAGGCGCAGTCGAAAGATTGCAGCGGTCCCAGATCAGATGTACACACTGGAACTCTTTCCCATGTTGCTTGTCTGTGTTTAATGTGTTATGGTGTGTTGATACCTGTGCATTCCTGTATTATCCTTTTGTGTTGCACATTTCAATGTTTTTTTTCCTCTCGCTACCTAGCCTGACCTGTCTCCCCAATGTGATGTTTGTATTGTATGTACGGTCGGCAAGGTCTGTCATCTCGGTTGTGGGCAAAAGACCTGCAGCTGACAAATAAAGGCTATCTCATCTCTCATCTCAATATAGCCACCTTTCTTTGCAAGGACACTCAAAAGCCTGCTGTGGCGGAGGCGTGGCCCCGGGCGCAGCTGCCGGGGAGGAGTGGAGCAGAAGGCTCAACAGGGCGGCGCTGCGAGGCCGGTAAGAACAGCTGATGGTGTTTATGTACTAATGATGGTCTCCCTCCGCTGTGTTTATAGTGAGACGGGGAGGAGCGGCGAGAGATCAGCTGGGCTCGTGAGCTGTCAGGCTGTGCGACTGAGTCAGCTGTGTAAACAAACAAATAAATGTGGAATTTGGCAGTACATACCTGCGTGTGCGTGTGTTTGTGCCTGGTGTATTCCACACCTGCCATCCATGGATTCTGTCAGTGTTTTGATCTGTTCACCATCAACATTGCGTGCAGCAGCAACCACAGCCTCCCAGACACTGTTCAGAGAGGTGTACTGTTTTCCCTCCTTGTAAATCTCACATTTGATGATGGACCACAGGTTCTCAATGGGGTTCAGATCAGGTGAACAAGGAGGCCATGTCATTAGTTTTTCTTCTTTTATACCCTTTCTTGCCAGCCACGCTGTGGAGTACTTGGACGCGTGTGATGGAGCATTGTCCTGCATGAAAATCATGTTTTTCTTTTTTCTTTTTTTTTCTTTTTTTTTTTGCCTGTCCCGTTTGGCTCTTTTGCATCAGAATTGTTGTCTAAAGGCAAAGAAAGATGCCCAACGGATTTACTTTACCAAATTGACCATCCCAGCCTTGCCGTAATGGTCCATTTGATTCACCTTTTATTGTTTATTTTATTTTCACTTACTGAATACGGGACAGACTTGACTGGAGGAAAGAAGGGGAGAAAGAAAGAGGGAAAGAGAAACAGCTGAGAAGAGGGACGGGGGAGAAGGGCAAAAGACAAAAACCAACAGAATGAGCAGAAGAAAAAAAAAGAAATAAAAAATGCATATATCAATCACCTGGATCACCTGCTGAGAAAGAAAAAAGAAAACAAGCAGAAGAGAACAAGAGTAATAGAATAAACGACATCACAATGATATATGGGAATATGACAGTAAATACTAAATATTAAACATTATTGTGCAGCACATAAGATCAACAGAACACAGTGTGCTTTGAGGTAGGAGCCAAAAAGGGTGTAGTTTGTGGGTGTGATCACCCGTGTGTACACCTGTGAGCATGGACGCGTTTGTTTTTTTAAAAGGTTCCTTCATGTAATGATCTGCTAGGGAGTGTGGGGGGGCCACAGCCCCGTCCTCCAGGGCATGAAGCAGGTATGGAGGAGATCAAAACTCCAGACATCCAGAGGCCCCCAGAACACAAGAGACCAAGGAAGACCAACAGAGGGGCAGCCGCGCCACTGTCCCAGAAAGAGCTGAGGAGAGTCCCAGATGAGGGCTCACCCAGCAGCCGCGGAGCAGAAGCCAGGGGGAGTTGCAGTGACGCGCCCGTGAGCTCCGCCGGCAGCCAGCCGTGCCTGAGTGACCGAGCCCCAGGCCGAGAGGCCGGGGACACCCCACCTCCGAAGTGGCCCGAGCGAGCCCCAGGATCCAGGCCCTGATAAGCGGCCGCCAAGGAGTGAGCCGGTGTGTACCTAGACGCCCATCCCCAGACACAAAGAACCACCAACGCACCGATACCTGAGGGCGTCCGCCACTGGCAGGGGAAGTGGTGGTGGGTGGAGATAGGCCTCCAAACCTTGGAGGGCCTGAGATGTCCCCAGAGAGGTGGCGCCTGATACCCAACCTGACATATAGACACAGAAATACAGGCACACACAGACACAAACATCCATTCCCACCCTCATGCTCTCATATGCACTTACTCCACACTCAACCAACGTGGAGACAAACATAAAGAGACACTGTACACACGATCACACTCCCCAAGCGTACTCTACGAACCGGGTCTAGGTACCCTTGCCCCTGGAGGGGGGAACTGCACCCAGACCCAGGTGGTGTTACCCTTTTCCCTGCGGTGGGGAGAGGCAGACCGCCCCGACTCCGCAGCAGCAGGGAGGCCCCGCACTCCGGACTGCAGTCGGACGGCCAACTCCTCCTCCTAGCCCCCCGCTCCAGCAGGTCGCAGAGAATGGGGGTGAGAGAAGACTCCAAATCATGTTTTTCTTGAAGGATGCAGACTTCTTCCTGTACCACTGCTTGAAGAAGGTGTCTTCCAGAAACTGGCAGTAGGACTGGGAGTTGAGCTTGACTCCATCCTCAACCCGAAAAGGCCCCACAAGCTCATCTTTGATGATACCAGCCCAAACCAGTACTCCACCTCCACCTTGCTGGCGTCTGAGTGGGACTGGAGCTCTCTGTCCTTTACCAATCCAGCCACGGGCCCATCCATCTGGCCCATCAAGACTCACTCTCATTTCATCAGTCCATAAAACCTTAGAAAAACCAGTCTTGAGATATTTCTTGGCCCAGTCTTGACGTTTCAGCTTGTGTGTCTTGTTCAGTGGTGGTCGTCTTTCAGCCTTTCTTACCTTGGCCATGTCTCTGAGTATTGCACACCTTGTGCTTTTGGGCACTGCAGTGATGTTGCAGCTCTGAAATATGGCCAAACTGGTGGCAAGTGGCATCTTGGCAGCTGCACGCTTGACTTTTCTCAGTTCATGGGCAGTTATTTTGCGCCTTGGTTTTTCCACACGCTTCTTGTGACCCTGTTGACTATTTTGAATGAAACGCTTGATTGTTCGATGCTTCAGAAGCTTTGCAATTTTGAGACTGCTGCATCCCTCTGCAAGATATCTCACTATTTTTGACTTTTCTGAGCCTGTCAAGTCCTTCTTTTGACCCATTTTTGACCCACGTTGCCTAATAATTATGCACACCTGATATAGGGTGTTGATGTCATTAGACCACACCCCTTCTCATTACAGAGATGCACATCACCTAATATGCTTAATTGGTAGTAGGCTTTCGAGCCTATACAGCTTGGAGTAAGACAACATGCATGAAGAGGATGATGTGGACAAAATACTCATTTGCCTAATAATTCTGCACTCCCTGTAAATAATATAAAAATTTGTGGAGGAAAACAGAGAATATATACATACAAAAAAATGAGTAGTCCTATTTTTCCTGAGAG